TATCCGGTCGCACGTCCCACTCTATGGGCTTCTCTCTCAAGCTCTCTTAGTACTTCGTAGTTCATCTCAGAAAGCCAATCGATTTTGAAATAAGATCAAAAAACATTTATTCATTATAAAAAGGAAATTATGCTGTTAAGATATCATTGTCTTGATGTGGATAACTTTCTCTCACCACTAAGATTGATTGTGATGATTACGTGTTTCACTCAATCCAATTCTCTCTAATCCCATATCAAAGATATGGCAGTAAGATCGTATCCAAGGATCTCCTAGCAGCCAAAGATTTCTCGGCGTGTTCATCTTCAATATGTTTGCCAGGCACTGAAAGTATGGAAACAAGAAGATGGTGGATGGGTCAGTGAAACCTACAAAATCATGAAACCGGCGGGTATACTGATAACTAGTGATCTTGTAGTTTATACCTCCGATAATGAATTGGATATCAGGGAAGTGATGGATATCTTCACAAGAGACAATAACAATCCCGTCCACAACTGTGGCATTCATTTGCCTCACAAGCTTCAAAGTCATATGTTTCGTTGAATGTTTGTTTCACAGCTTACTTCGTTGAATGGTTCCTCCGGACATCCTATCCTTGGTGCACCGGTGTCACTTATGCCCTCCACTTGAACAGAACTCTTGTATGACCCTATTTGAACTTCTTCAATCAGTACGTTCCACTGATGCTTCGAAGATAGTGGATGAAAGGTAACATTTGGACTGCAGTTTTCAATATCAAAGTCGCCTAGAGTCATCATTCCTCCAATGCCATCATCATTTTCCTAAATGTCTTTCCTTATTCGAACTTCTCTGTCTTTTCGTACCTGTTTGTTAAGCCAGATGGTAAAAACCGGAAAGTGCAGTTGAGAGAGTACATTTTGAATGAATGGAACCATATTATTCGTATACTGCCAAGCGAATCCTAATAAGCCATCGTTTTCTTCAGCTCCCAAACTTTCCGGCAGTTCCGTAGCAACTATTATTTTTTGTTTCGGAAAAGATATTCCTTGTATACTCATGTCATCTTGTGCAGCGTAGCCTGTGATCTGAGTGCTCAAGTAACGAACAGTAATCTTCTCAGACACATTGACGAAACTGTTCGACTCATGAGCGTCATATTTGTGCTTTCGGTAGTTGCTTAAACAAATGAAAAATAAGTGGGTTTCTGGTTCCATGAACTCACTCTGCACAATCACAAGTGGAACCTGTGCATTCTTTCCCAACTATCCAAGTATGGGTAGATCCTGTGTCGAGCATGAGCGAGTAGTTCTGAGCTGAAACCTCTTTCAATATCTTTTGTTTCTAAAAAAGTACTCTCACGTGGATTTCCAATCGATACAGTACATAAATAGCGTTGGTTTCGTATATTTTTCAGCTCAGCTGATCTGCTGTTCACTAGCATACGTCCCAAGCTGGCGCTGTGAGCATGATAAGGCAATGCAATGAAAACGTACAAACCTTTTCCGTTTCATTGCTGACTGTTGCTGCATCAGAGGCAGTTTCAGAATGATAGCGTGAGCACAGACAATATAACATAAGAAAATGAGAGTATTCATATTCGTATTTGAATTTTCCATTCCAAATCATAATCTCGTTAAATAGGAGAGCCTTATCAGTTAGTGCACACGGAAGAACTTTTAGAGATTTGTTTGTTTCTCCCTTTAATCCTCTTTTCAACTTCCAAGTTTGAAAGTTTTAACTTCGCAGGAGATCCCTGATTCTTAAACTATTGAGGAAGTAGAACTATTCAGGATAACCTTCACACCTCGATCTTTTTCTTGAATTCTGCAACAGAAGAAGTCCAGCTCTACTGTTCATAATCGAATCTTTCATTTTTTGTGTTATCATAAGGTGGCAACCTCGATTCTAGATTGATGTTTCTCAACTGTCAAATGGCTTTAGAACTATAAGTTCTCAATCATGATAATAGCGTGTTCGACTATATGGTACTTTGAGGCAAGATCGTGTTCGTTCTTCTCGAGTTGAGAGATTTGACAAGCAGGATAATACGAAAAGCTTTTAATTCGATCTTTGATTGTCTTGTTGTACACAGTGATACATCGTCATTGTTCATACTGCTCCCATACATGACTATACCTCAGAAAGGTAAGTAGAACTTCTTGTTTACCACTGTTTCTTGTCGTCAGCGTAGGGCATGCATAGTTTGAACGTCCGACTTTGCCGTGTTTGTTTTATAGAAACAATGAACTCAATATCATCTGTGAGGTGTTTGCCGTATATAGATATCCACCGGTTCCTTTAGAGTATAATGATAGATACTAGTAATTCAGAAGCTTCCACATCGCACTACATAGGTGCTCATAACGAACTTCATTTGAGAGCCATTCTTACTTCCAACTATGCGTGAAGATGACTTCCTTTTGAAGCCTTATGCTAATCTGAATGAAAATACTTTTCGAAAATTCCGAGAGGCACGGTATCGGTCATACAGTCGATTAATAAGAGAAATAATATATTATATAGATATACTAGAAAGTTTTTGAAAAGAAAATTGGCCTTCTAAATCGATAGAATGCTTTACAAACTTAATGAGAGGCGTTGCTCCTCATCAGTTGGATCTGAAAACCAGCTGGAGATTCTGAGAATTGGAATTTTGAAGCTAATCATTTCTGATTCAGCTGCTTTTTAAATAATGACAGAGAGTGGAAACACTATAGAAGCTAAATGTTACAGTGGAAAACAGTATACTTCGACAAATGGTGATCCGAGAGGTTCGGGTCGGATATCGGGTCTATCCGATTTGAGAAAATATGATCGGATTGGTCGGGTCGGGTCGGATTGGGCGAAGTATAGTATAGAAAACAGTGTTCGAATGAATGACGAGCAGAACACCGCCAAACTAACGGTTAATCACGTAGATTTTAAATATTTTCATGAGTTTAGTATGTCTCTCAAATATTCTACGCGTATTCTTCTATTGCTATGATTTGTTGTTAAGTTCTTTGTTGTTGTTTTGTTGGTATGTGATTGTCAACCACATATTGTGCCGATCAGATGGCTTTGCTCATCTTCTGTAATGTTGTGACAACGAACAGTACGAAAAGCTGCTGTTTATGATCACAACAGCAAAGAAGATGGGCGAGTCTGAAAACATTGCCCAAAGACGAACAATTATGAAGTTCTGAACGAGAAGAAAGTTAAATGCAACCGTTAACGATCTTTTGAAAGCTTATATACTCCTGTGAAACGCCGTGAGCTACGAGTTACGTCAAAATCATTTTTACGTGGAAAGAAAAAGATCCGGTCGTCCTCTTTTGTGAAAGAGGTGGTACTTTGGTTGTATTTGGTGAGCTGTACTTCAATTTTTCCAAATCGGAATACCATTTGAAGAAGAATCTGCTGCTTGCCATTTCCCAGAAGAGATTAATATGAGAATCAGTCAACGTGCCACAGGAATAGTGTTTCAATTTGATCTGATTACCCAGTTCCAGGATAGACCTGGTTCTAGAATTGAAGAGAAATAAGAGTCGGCTAATGAATTTATTCCATAAAATTTTAAAGGTCGGATTTCTATCATTGCCTTTCTTCATTCTCCTACTGTAATGATTGCGAAATGATGTTCAGTAACGTTTGCCAGTCTCGGACTGTCAAAACAACAGGTTGACATGGACTACACCTTCTCTCATACTTTTCCCATTTCATCTGAAACTCAAAGTCATTCTACATCCCAAGAAATTGAGAATGTCAAGTGGTTCGTTCACATTCCAATACTTCTCAATCTGAGTTCAGGACTGTTCAATTCACTTTGGAAAACAGACTTGCTAAGATCATAATAAGCAACAAACTGATTGGAAAGGTAGCCTGTCCATTAGTTCCTTGGAAGATAACGTTCGATGTGAAATACACGTTTGGAGCATCGACGAACACACGAGGCTCGGAGATTGTTAGTATGCTTGATATATCTCTTTGAATCGTTTTTGCTTTTCCAGACGAAAACTTGGAGCCGAGAGAAAGAAGATGTTGTTACGAGGGAAGATGTGTGTATCGAAGAGGTGGAGGCTTTCACAGAGAAAAAAGTTCTTTCGGTGAAAGTCGTGATTTCCCAAATTAGGACGAGAGGGATACAGTTAGTTTGCTACAGTACTTCTTATTATCTTCGTGAAAATAGCAAATTCGAAAGGAAAGTTTTCGAAAGTCCGGATTCCAATGAAGATTTGGTATTGGATGTGAACGGTAAGAAGTTTCACTGCCACAGCCAGGTATGAGAGTGGATGCACATCGTTCACATTTGAAATCTCAGATACTATCTTGGAACTCCAAGGTCTTCAAAGGTATGATTGAAAAGAACCCAAATCCTACTAGCCTGGACAACGAGCTGAAACCAAAGATGTGGGAATTCCTTCAATCTGTTTGTGAAAACGAAGCTGCGTTTGAGATCTGTTTGGAGGACACAATTCCAGTCAAGGATCTTCGCGAGCTTCTTCATTACATTTATTTTCCCATCGAGCCAGTCGATAGTATGGTATTCTTGGTTCAAACCTAGTCTTCCAGTTTTCCAGTGCACAACTTCAAACGTTTACTTCATTGGGCAACGAAATTCGAAGTAAATATTATACTTCAAGTGTGCCAACAATTCATGAAAACCGAGATGCTCGATCCTGATGCAACAGATGAAGAAAAAATCGAGATCTTCCTTCTGTCTTGGAAATACTCTATTGAACCGTTGAAGGCAGGTGGACTCATATTGTGTATTCTTGAGTTGACTGGATTTACAGAAAATTTATGCTAGCAATGTAATTCCTCATAACTCGCCAGGCTGGATGAAGGAGATTGTTAGAAGTGAGCTCTATCAGGAACTGAACAACGAGATGAAACCAAAGATGTGGGAATTCCTGGTGGAATCAGGTATATGAGTTGGATTGCTGTTCGTTGTTTCATAAACTTTGTTTTTGTTCTTATTTTCTCATTTATAACAATAAATTTCGATCCTTAGCAAGAGAGCAGTTTGGAAAGTCTTTATGTCCATCGTATGTCGGATAGTTCAATGCTTCATCTTAGAAACGGCTTAGGAAGTTAGCCTATGACGAAAAGAGGCATTTCGGTTCTGTGAAAGGTTTGGAATAGTGTTAAGGTGTTATTGGTTTTGTATGCGCATGTACAATGTACCAATAAAGGCTCTTCTGCTACGAATTAACAGCGGCGGGCTGAATTGTGTGTTTTGGTGAGAAGGCGGGATGAGTTAGAATGAAACCTTTCTATACGAGTGAGAAGGAAATGCATTCATTCAGTGCTCTAACGATGAGATCTGAATTTGTCTATGTCATATGATTGGATCCCGAGTTGATGAAAGTTGTTGTCCATTACACATCCATCAACGTCCCTGCGCATGCCTTTTAGTCATTGTTGAGGACTGATGAGCAACTCTGACTCATGAGAAGATATCAAAGCTATCAAGAAACGCATTATGCATATTGTTCGATATAAAAGAGAGGTCAGAAGTACAATTGGATGATGTTAACGAGATTCGGCAAAATGGAAGCCGTTGTTCAGACGGCTAATCACGTAGGTTTACAAAAAAACGGCTTCTATGCTGAGTTGATAGGAGTTTAATTCTTCCGGTCAGGTCGAGTATGTTCAAACTGTTTGCAGCTAGTATACCAGCGTATAAAGCCGTGCACTATTTGCTACGTCAGGAACCATTTTTGGAGTGAACCATTCTTTGACTCGGTCGTTCTATTTTGTGAAATCAAATGTGAATATTTTCAGAAAGAATTTGCTACTTACAGTTGTTTTAAGAAGAGTTAGAAGAGAATCAGTCTTACTATCCGCAGAAATGGATTGAAGAAGGCTGTTGTTCTGTCGAATTTGTCAGTTTTAGAATTGAAGAAAAGTGAGATTTGAGTGATGAAGTTAGTTCATACTGCTTTATTCCATAAAATCTTGAAGGTCGCATATGGTAGTATGGTCGTAGTTCAATTATATTACCAAAGGGTTGCAGTTAGTTTGCCACAGTACTTCTTATCATCTTCGTGAAAATAGCAAATTCGAAGGGAAAGTCTTCAGAAGTCCGGATTCCAATGAAGATTTGGTATTGAATGTCAACGGTGAGAAGCTTCACTGCCACAGTCAGGTATGAGAGGGAATGCATATCATTCACATTAGAAATCTCAGATACTATCTTGGAACTCCACGGTCTTCAAAGGTATGATTGAAAAGAACCCGAAGCCTACTAGCCTGGACAACGAGCTGAAACCAAAGATGTGGGAATTCCTGGTGGAATCAGGTAAATGAGTTCCTAGTAGTTGCTGTATGGTGTTTCATGAACGTTGTTTTTTTATGATTTTTAATAATAAATTCCGTTCCTTAGCAAGAGAGCAGTTCGGAAATCCTTTGGGTACATCGTCTGTCGGATAGTTCAATGCTTCATCTTAGAAACGGCTTAGGAGGTTAGATTATGGTGCCTCACCTATGAAGGAGTGAGGCATTTTGATTGTGTGGAATGTTTGGAAGAGTGTTAAGTTGTTATAGGTGTTGTATGAACCAGTGAATGCTCTTCTGCCCAAACCAAAGATGTGGGAATTCCTGATTGGAACAT